AATATACAAAACATCATTCATTGGTTGGTTGTTAAAAAAATGAAATAATAGTTTTTAGTATGTAGCACTTAAACTATCAAAATCTACAAAATAATCATATAAGGTTATTTAAGAAGATAGTATCTGTATTTTCTCATTAACAGGCAAAATAAATCTTAAAACTCTAGTGCAGTTTTTTATGTATAATATGACTTTCATGCTTTTAAAGCAGAATAAGAATTTAAGAAAATTTTTAACAGCTAATTTCATTTAAAACTTCTGTATTCAGATAAATTAAAAAATATTATTATCATACATATATAGTTATACAATATGTGATAGTTATCAGTATTCACCAGTAGGTTTTGACAGTTAAGTCGTCTATTATCATGTCATTAAACAGTTTATAATATCTGAGGTCACAAAACTTATATGTGCTTGTCAACACACAAGTGTAGCAGACTTATTAGAACTTGCAGTTCAAATTTCAAGAGTAACTTAACATGTACTTGATGATATTTTAATGATTTTGTTTCTTGATATATGTGGTATATATCATTTATATAACTTTAAAACATATATCTAAAGTAAATAAGCAAAAACTAAACTGATTTATCTACTAAACTTTGAATTTTTATTCATTTTATGTTACAAGGCAAATTAGATAGTTTATTTATTTGGCCTTTGAGTGTTAACCTATGCAGGTTAATCTGTCACTGAATCCATCGTAAAGGAAATAATGCCTATGTGTATTGCATAAGTTTATATTTCTGTATACAACACTCCCATTCAAATTAGCATTTGGAAAGTAAATTTTAAGAAGTCTGCAGTACAGACTGAGGCAGACAAAAAAATGCTTGACTGTGAACTGTTATATAATAGTTCATTTAATGATAATGATGGAACTAAATGTTTATGTATTAGAGACCCCTTGGTAAACATTGCCTAAATGAATGAATAGTATTGTTTAATGTTTACCTATTAGTCTTGTTTTAGGACCAAAATAAACCAATCTGAACAATAATTTTACAATGAAATTACCTATTACTAGCAGTAAAAAATCAAAACTTATGTACAGAAAAAAAAAAGTTGAAAGTTTCTGTTTGTGAAAAGCAATAAAATATTCATAGAATATTCTTTCATTTGTATTTCTTGAGCTTGGAGTCAAACCCATGTGAGTGCTATACCAACTGAGCTAAAGGGTTAACCTGCTAGCAGTTGCTAGTAAGGCACTTTAACAACTCAAACAGTAACTTTTTTTTTTCAACCAAGTCAAGTTTGTTTAGTTTGAACAATTTTTTAACACTTTCAATTTCATCATATAATGACTATCTCTATTGCAAAGCCCAAAAGTTATGCATAGTTTATGGACCACTGCTCTTTTCCATATGTTCATTACAAAATATTATATACAGACTATAAAGTTTCTCATCAGAAATAAAACGCTCCACATCCAAAACACAAGGATATCTTTAACTGTTTTGAAGGACTATATTTTAGGTTATATTCAGGATAATACTAATTACTAAGCTTGTAGTTACCGGTCTTACAAACTGAAGTATGAATGTAAATTTACTCCACTATGTATAATAATTTTGAAAAGGAACAGCATGAAGAGAAAGATATAATTTGAAATCCTTTAATATATAGAACTCCATTTAATGTTGTTTATTGTTCATAAAAGTTTTACAAGTATGTTTTCATCATTTTAGAAGTTGAACCAACATTTAACTGCCACTGTAATTTTTATTTATTTCTTATATTTTTGCTGAAGGCTCCTTTTTTGTTTATAACCTTTGTTCAATAACACCATTTGTTTACTACTGGTTATACTTGGAACCAGCAGATACTGGTTCTTGAGACATTCCTACTTGTTTCCAGTAGGTATTTCATTCTTGCTGGTATTATATTCTAACTGGTTCCCAGTTGTTATGCTGTTCTTACTGGTGTTAACTTCCTGCTGGTATAATATTTTTACATTTTTATTGGTATCCCTTAATGTTGGCATTTTGCTACAGCTGTTGCCTTTCTTTGAAATTTGTATGGCTTTCCAATGAAAGATTTTGGCTTTGAACTCTAGTTGTTACATGTCACTTTGTTTTGCATGTTATTTTCAGTCACTTGTAGTAGTGTTATTGAATACTTACTTAGTAAGCTATACTTCATACTAATTAAAGAATTATGTAAGATAAAAAGATAATAAATACAGTGCTCGAAGTGGAGAGTAACACGGGGGTATGCATATCCCCACTCTTTGTACACCTTGATTAAGAATTCCAAACAATGAAAAACGCTATCACTATTTTAAATGCAAGTGTACCCTCACTTCTGAATTCCCACTCTGAGCACTGCCTATATATATATTTTTCAAACTTGGTAATTAAATATGTCTAAACTGGAACCTCAGCTAAGTGTTGTGTATTTGTAATCTTGGCTGTAGTAAATTATTTCAAGTTCATTTTTCTGCTTCATATTATTACCTTCAACAATGATGAACCTGATGTTTAAAGATTTTGTAACTAGTAAGTATCAGTACTATAGTCTTCAAGTCAGGCAAATAAGGCTTTGAGAATACTATTATCTGTAAAGTAATAACGTTTATACATTTCACATTTATATAATGTTTGCAGTTTTTGGTTATTTTAAGTACAGTTGAAAGCAACTTTAAACACATCTTTCTATATCAATTCAAAACATCTTTCATGACTGGGTATGGTTGAAATATGGTGTATACTATGTATTTTTTGGTCAAAAAATGTATAGTGACTTCTTTTTTTGTGTGTGTCTTAATGATTTCTGCTGATACTTTCATGGGTTCTTTTTTATAGTTTTTAGAGCAATTCATATATCTTCTGTTTATGTTAACTGTTACGAAGTCCATACAATGCCAATAACTGATGAGCCCTGGTATTGGACAGAAGACCTCGTCAACAATGGATATGGTAGATGTTGATATATCTTAAAGTATTCTCCTTTGCTTTCACTCATGAGTTCTTTGAAATACTTAAATATTTCAAAAGTAAGATTATTGCTGACTTTTTAATGCTGATAGTAAAATTTTTACTATCAGCATTAAAAAGTCAGCAATAATCTTACTTTTGAAATATTTAAGTATTTCAAAGAACTCATGAGTGAAAGCAAAGGAGAATACTTTAAGATATATCAACATCTACCATATCCATTGTTCATATACATAGGAACATATTAATCTTATAATTACTTGAATTTGTTAAAAGCAGTTTACAGTCAGTTAGAGTAAGTTTCGCGATTAATATGTTCCTATGTATATATATATATATGTGTACATTGATTTATTTCAAAAATTCAAATAGGTTTTAAGTACAAGCTTAAAAAATAAAATAAATAAATGCTACATTGGGTGATTTATCAAATAGTGTGACATGGCCTTTTCTCATATATGTAACTCTTTGTTTTCTCATTTTTTTTTGTAATGGTTGAACAGTAGAATCAAAGCAGTATTCCCTAAACTAAAGACATAAATTACGTACAAGTTGGTTAGCTGGTTTGTTAAGCACAAAGCTACACAATGGGTTGTCTGTGCTCTACCAACAGTGGGTATTAAAACCTAATTTTTAGCATGGTAAGCACAAAGTTAAACCACTAAGCCAATGGGAGTCATTACGTACAAGAAGAATCAAGCTCTAAAGCATAAGAAACTGAGTGGAGGTGTGTGTGTGTGTGTAAGGGGGGGGTAGATCATACAAGATGCATTAATAACTTTAGTACTGCACTCTTTCCCCAATATAAAGTAGTTTTTCGTGTATAAAGATAATAGTCTTTGACATTCCTTTACAACTGTCTTTGAATTAAACAGCCCGGAATTTTGATTTCATAAATATTTTGCTCTTGGCATTTGGCAAAAGTGCTTAAAGGGTCTACACTAGGCAAATGACAGAATATGTATATATCAACATCTCTAGCATAATGTATGTAATGTGGCTTATAAAAATTATAGGCCAGAAAAATTTATAGCTTTTAAATAAAATTATTCAGTAGGAGATACTAAAAAAGTGTAGCATGATGTACTAATTCCAAATGAATTTACCTTGCATGCACGATGGTGATGATATAAACTTAAGTCAAAAGTTTATAATTCTGAAGGAAAATGATGATTGTGAGTGAAATTAGTTCCTTTTCTGTATTTACTCATCATTCTTATTGATAAAATAAGTAGTAATTTTTAATGCTCATTTTATTATATTTGGCAAACTTAAAATGTTTGGTATTTTTATAGTAAGTGTTCATTATGAATTTTAGCTTTTATATTTTAGAAAAATTTGTAGACACTTAACATCTTATAAGTATCAAGGATGTCAATTTTACACATTGCAGTATTTTTAATTTTTATTTATGTATATTTTAATGTAATAATTTGTACTTTCTTTTAATATTTTGTGCAAATAAATATACCTTGTGCAGTTTATGAACTATTTTGAGACAAGCAAGTATATATATAACAAAGTTTTAAAGCATGTCCAAATGTAAGTAACTTATTTCATGTTTGTACATGTATGTTCAGTATATATGTAAATTTTTTAAACTACTGATGCATGCTGTTATGACAAAAGTGATTTTTTTTACTACCCAATTTAATAATGAAGTGCATTTGTATACAACTGGATAAACATACACTTAAGTGCTGACATCTTCAGCAGTACACAAAGTTTCATCTGTACTTTCAACAAATACCACAACTTTTATTTGATTTTTAACCAAAGAAAAAATTCTTCATATTAGGATAAAGAAATATGTAGAATTATAAACGGACTTTTCTCTACATTAAAATACTTTTATTGTGAGCTTTCGGCCCTCTTACCTGAGCCTTCATTGGGCAACAGTGCATTGTTGCCCGATGAAGGCTCTGGTAAGAGGGCCAAAAAGCTTGCAGTAAAACGTTTATAATCTTACATATTAATTTATCTATGTCATGAGCCTTAAACAACAATCAGGATAGAGAAATGTTGGAATCTGGACATAGCAAAATTGAATTTTGATATAATTCAGCAGTTATATGTACTTCTAATCTTAAGCTGGTGAATTCAGTATCACACTAGAATATAAAAAAAAGAGCAATGTTAAAAAGCAAGAGATTAAGGTAAACAGTATATTCAAATTTTTCATGTATTTATTTTTTGAAAAATTACATATTTAACATTTTTTGACTCTGCAGATGCTTGCTATATATTTTATGTATATATTGTTTGTTTCAGATGAATATTATTTATTTTAATAGTTAATATAAAAGGTTCTGAAACTTTTAGTTGTAATGTAAAATAGCAAATATCCAATGTAACAAATTCATAAAATTGGCATATTCTTTTACGTTAGGCTTGGTTACATGAAAAGTAGTTTCGGTAGTTACTTAAACTTATAGTAAAAGTTTTTTTTTCCCCCCAATAGTGATAGTTCATAAAATATTCTGTATTAGTAAAAATTTTCTTGTCAACAAAGAGTAATGGAAAATTGATGTATTAATTCGTAAAATGAAATTACTGCTTGATCCTCCTTTGTCTCTTAATTGCTTTTAATAATTTAATAGCATGTCCTAAAGCCCAGCATGGCCAGGTGGTTAGGGCGCTTGACTCGCAGTCTGCGGGTTCGAATCCCCGTCCCACCAAACATGCTTGCCCTTTCAGCCATGGGGGCATTATAAGGTGATGGTCAATCCCACTATTCATTGGTAAAAGAGTAGCCCAAGAGTTGGCGGTGGATGGTGGTGACTAGCTTCCTTCCCTCTAGTCTTACACTGCTAAATTAGGGATGGCTAGCACAGATAGCCCTTGTGTAGCTTTGTGCAAAATTCAAAACAAACAAGCATTTTATATATCATAAATATAATTGACTGTAAAACATTAGTTTTCAGCATATTTTCATTTATGTCCATTAACCATTTCTTGCATGAAATTGTTCATAAGCCTTCAAATTGTTAAATGTATCCACTGGATAATTCATGGACTTCTACCTACAACCCACCACAGCAACAACAAATGTGGTATACCAGGGTGATGTTATTTATGGGCTTTTCTGGGATTGAAATGCTCTATGAAATCAAATTATGAAACATGATTATTTCTTCAGATTTTCAGAAAAAGTCTTCATGAACAGATTCATCTCAATGAAACAATTGTTTAACAAATTCGTACCATTAAATATCATGAAGTTTTTGAATATGAAAAAGGAAAAAAAACTACATTAGTTTGGTTATTTTTGATGCTTCATACAAATTCAAACCATGACTCCAAAGTATAGTAATTAATACTTAGTCCCCCTCATTTAAAATGTCAACTACCAATCACTTATTGTGCCAATATTTTGTAAAATGTCCTTTCAATATTTTGGTAGTGGTTTTACAGTAAGTTTCTTAATCCTAGACACATATGATGCTTTTAACACTTGCAGTATCTAAATTTGTTTTAATGCATTAAATATTTGCTTGATGCCTATTAAAAATTTAAGGGACATGATTTTTACATACTGCATAAAAACTTACTAAGTATGGTCAATATTTGTCCTTTTACTGTTTACAAAGATGATTTAATTAATCACTGTGACAAGTAAAATAAAGTACATTTATTTTTTACCTTAAAATTTTCAATATTCCAAGGAATGTATAGGTAACTGCCAGATATAAGCGTGCAACCAAAATGTTCTTTAGCACATTCTATAGCCTTAAAAGACAAATTAGTGTGAAACTAACTTTACATATTTTGTTTTGTTTGACTCATTCCTCTAAGTAAAACTGATTTGAAGGAGGTGTATCACTGACAAACTGCACAAAGAAATCTTCCAACATTATTGTTTAAAAGTTTAATCAACATTTTTATTTCAGCCTCTAGGTAAAACTGATTTGAATGAGGTGTATCAGTGACAAACTGCACAAAGAAATCTTCCAATATTATTGTTTAAAAGTTTAATCAACATTTTTATTTCAGCCTCTAGGTAAAACTGATTTGAAGGAGGTGTATCAGTGACAAACTGCACAAAGAAATCTTCTAACGTTATTGTTTAAAAGTTTAATCAACATTTTTATTTCAGCCTCTAGGTAAAACTGATTTGAAGGAGGTGTATCAGTGACAAACTGCACAAAGAAATCTTCCAACATTATTGTTTAAAAGTTTAATCAACATTTTTATTTCAGGCTCTAGGTAAATCTGATTTGAAGGAGGTGTATCAGTGACAAACTGCACAAAGAAATCTTCCAACGTTATTGTTTAAAAGTTTAATCAACATTCTCATTTTTATTTTGGCCTATACCATAATGACTAATGAAGGATTCTCTCTCCACAAACTGATATAACCTCGAAGAATGGGCCAGAACAAACAAAATACAGATGAATTAAACCTGATATTTCTTCTGCCAGCAATTTATGAGAAAAACAGATAAATTTGGTATTGTTGGTCATTTACTTGCTTTTTAAAATGACTGATTCTGTAACACTCCTTATAAAAGCTCAATACTTGCCACTCTACACAAACATGAATAATTTTAGGTTTACTGAAATAAGCATATTTAACAGTTTGAGTTTACAGAAGGAAAAATACAAATATACATGGTATCTGAATACATAACATATATGAGATATGAGTGTATACTGATTGTTTTGTCTTCCCCCATATCTTCATACATATTCTAAAATTCCATTTGTAAGTTATTATGTACTTTCCAAACCATAAAAAAAAATGCAAGTTATAAATAAAAAGCAAAATGATACAAGAACAAAAATGACATTTAAAGATTATTATGTGGACATACAGGGAAAACCTTGACAAGGTATTTTATAGCAGTATTAAATAACTCCATTACCTGTCTATTTGGAATTGTTTTAGATGAAATATGAAAAAGATTTTATAGTTACAGAAAAAACAATAATAATAATAATACAAAGGAAATATAAAAGTGAGTAGTAAGAATATTATCAACTTGTATAATATTTAAAATGAAAATAATCTGCCTAAAATAATTTTAATGCCGGGTTTTTCATAAACATAGCAAAATTCCCATTTTGAATCCCAGTATGAATTAAATTCTTAAAAACTGATGCAGGAAAGTTGCACATTTTGACACAGGAGTATCTATAACTTTGTTTCAAGATTTAATGGTACATTATTTATAATACCCCAACAACAAAAAACCTTTCTGAATTAAATTATTTTTCATGTTGAACATAATTTATTGAAATGCTTTGAAAAAAATAAAATTGATTAGGACTAATGACTTTCATTAATTCTCAAATTTTGAAAAAGCCAATTTTTTTTATAGTTTGTTTTAATACTAGAAAGAATTGCATAAATAAATAGTAATCACACACTGTGTGGGTATAAATGCAAAGAAACACTCGTGACTTGAACAGAATACACTTGCTGTTATTAGTTATGATAACTGTAGAAATAAACACCAAGTTTCTTATCATGTTGTGTTTGGAGTATTTAAAGTTAACTGACAGGTTAAATAATAAATCTTGAAGAAGAATATTTTATCCTAATCCCAGTCTCCCTTTTTTTCCTATAAATAAAAGTCAGACATACATAATTGACTATATATATAATCAAAATACACAAACACTGGCAAAAAGCATACATTTACATCTGATTACTGATTTATGTACAGGCACCTACAAATATGATTAAGCAAATTATGAAACAATATCTACATCTGTTAAGGTTAGATATCAAAAATGGGAAAGGGGTTGGAAAACTATTAAAGATCATATTTCATGTACCACTATAATCTCTATATTTTAAATATTTCAATAAAATAAATACTTTCGTAAATTAATATTTTTATACTGATTATGCAACAGCTGATGCTACTAATAGTAAGTTCTATTTATTTCTTTAAATGATAAATATTTATTTGTGATCCAGAAAGTTTGTACTTGACCATTTTTTACCATAAATCGTAATAGCATTTATGAACACAATTATAACAACAATCAAATATGAGTGAAAAACAATTTTTACATGTTTGAAAACTTTCTTTTGTTTCTGTACCTTCTTACTGACCTTAAAATAAAAATTAAATAATTTAAAAGTAAAACAAGAAAAGAAAGATGTAGCTTGTCATGAAACAGATCTGATGACATGAAATTAGCTTCAGTTATCAGCAAAATCTGTCTCTGTGGAAAGTTTACTCCTACAGAGTTACTGTATGTGAAACTATCTGTAAGAAAAAAGAACAAAACATTAAGAAGTATATTCCAACAGAAAATTCACATTCAGACTATCTGTTGAAAATTACAAATCACTAAGTCTGGCTTATTTTCATAGTCATAAACAAAGAAAAATTGCAATTTATGTTTGTATAAATTATTTAAAATGACACTTGTGTAAAACATCTATTGACAATTAAAAGGAATATAAGGTTAAAATCATTACACCATAAATACTTATTCAAAACAAGGACTTGCTCTAAAAAAACTACATATGTTTTGGTATCCCACGACACTATCTTCAGAAGTAACAGAAGAAGGCATGGTTGGGACTTGTATACCCACATAATCATTTACTTTCCAAATCATGTTAGTGTGTTCAAGTCTTGGGTAATTAAGTACATTGATAGTAAAAGTAGAACTAGAAAATTCTAAACAACATCTTAGAAACTTTAGTATTCAAAGTGGCATTTTCTGATCCAGAAATATTGCTACAAAATTTCTAGTGTAATATGACCTGGGTGTCAGTTGGTACTTGTTGGAATGTAGCTAAACCTAACTAATACAACTTACCACATTTAAACAGGAAATAATGAACAAAATAGAGAAGTACAGACTGCTGATATAATTTATTAAATTAAAGCACAATATAAATTCAGAGGAACTAAAAGCCCTACACTTTTGGAAATATTACCTTATTATTTCTGCTATTTCTGGATCTGTTTCTAGTGCCTTCAGGTGGTGAACTCCTACCCTACGGTGTCCAGAACGCAAGGACTGGACTGACTTGCCTGAGTGTACTGACCATCCAGATCCAGATTTCTGACTAGCAGTGTAAGGAAGACCTTGTGCAGAGAGTGTAGTGGACTTTCTACGGCCTGAGGACGGACTTCGTGACTCTTCCATGATCCATGGGTGCTTTAATGCATGAGCTGCTGACATACGTTGTTGAGGATTGCACTGGAGAAGTGCCTGCACAAAATTTTTGGCTTCATCGGAGACTTCTTCCCAAATCTGTTAAGAATCCAAAGTCTATGTTAGGGTGCAGCTCTAAGTTACCTAATGTACAGTTTATAAATAGTAATTTCTGTTTTTCAAGAAAAAAATTAAAAGTTCTGTTTAGCTAGGACGAACATAATATTTTCACAGAGTTTCTACAGTGAACCATCTTAGCTGTTGGTAGCTCTTCCTGATTAAAACACTGCTGGTAAGATTTTTTGAAAGCAATCATAGTATGTGATATTAATAATAATATTAGGAACAGAACAATGGCATAACTACAAAAGAGGGACCCCTTCCTACATAAAAAACTTTATATCCAGTTGTGCTTTGCCATATGTCCCAAAATCAGAGTTGGCCAAACTGTAGCTCTGCAAAATCTTTAGTACAGGCTCTGTAAAGAAACCATAAGATTTGCTACGACTCACATTTTTACTTTGGTTAGATACTAATTAAAAATTGAATTACAGTAAGTCAATTCAACAAAAACTATATATTTTAATGAAGATTAGTAGATAGTGTCAACCTCCTGTTTTTGTCAAAAGCAATGTTAATGTTTTGACTACCTTCCCATGACACAGTCACTCAAGATGTAATTTGAAAGTGGGACAAATATAACAATTTTAAGGAAGACATTCACTTCAAAAGTTTATGAACAGTATTTAAGAAGAAAAGGATCCACAGCAAAACATTACAAGTACAGAGAACTTTCAATTATTACTACTGCCTAACCTAATCGATCAAAATAATCTTACCAAAAAATGGGAGTTTCAATAAATCCCCATAATATATTACGTGAGTATTCTTACATTTATTTTATGTGAGTATATGAAGAAGTGTCTATTATGTCATTATTATTATTATCTTTGCACAAGATAATGTTGCGTTACTTTTCATTTAGCTTACATGTAAAACCAAATTTATCGCACATTTTCCATGATATATAATAGCCATTTAATCACTTACTTCACCTTCTCACTTAAACTACATCAAATTAGAACTTGGAACTGTGATTCAGATTGGTAAGTATCTCAGAGCATCTAAAACCGACCCCGTCATAAAGTGGATGTAAAACTGTGTTCCACTTGTTAACTACATAACTCAAGCCCTGTTCATATGTGTACATCTAAGTCTGCCATACAATTTACTTGTAGTTTAAAAGAACTACATTGGCAAATGCAAATAATGATGCAAATTCTTCACAAGAAGTATAATTTACAGTGAAAAGCTTTAATAAATAGCGTCTTAAACAAATGTTGCACATACTGCTGTTTTTTTTATTATCATTCTAATGTACTTTTAACATGCATTTGCAATGAACAATGTGTAATTTCCTGTGTAATTTTACATATTTTATAATATTTGAAATTCGTACTGAAACTGGATATAAGTGGTTGGACAAGTTTCTATGTTTAAGTTTCTCTCTCTTTCAACTTATATATATATACACACATATGGCAATCACAGCTGATGTCAAGTGTAAAGTCACAGTGGCATGGAATGTACCAGAAGTACATTTGGACATTGTTAGCATTTCTTGGGAATGGTATGTAATGGTACTTTCTGACATATACTCAGATCATAAAGGTGTGTTTAGGTGAGGGATTTAGAATTTCAACAAGAGAATATTCCTTGTACTTAATGGCATTGGAAAACAAAGGAATATTTATCAACATGGGGCACCAGGACCACTCAGAAAGAGACCTACAACAAATGGTACCCCAGCCATGGTAAGCAAAGTGCAGTGTCTTGTAACAGATGAGAATCCATGAACACAAAGATCAGTGGAAAAAGCCATCTCATGCAACAGTGTGCAACATAACCAAGAAGGATATCTCCTTGGAAAAGCAACACAAGTCCTATGTACACATGTTACTTTCACAATATATCTGTTCAACAATTGCACATATAAAGTAGTTGGACAATAAAAGAAGTGTCCTTATCACTTCATATGCAGACATACTGGTCAAATAACCAGATGCAGCGCATATAGATTTCTGCATGACCAGACTGTTGAAATGAGCACTGGGAAACCATCATCCTTTTACAGTAGATAGATTATGGAAAGCATTAGAGAGGATGTGTTGTGCTTCAGACATGACAGTCATACGACGGGGTCTTTTGCAGTGGAAACTACGCTGTAGGGCTATTTCAGAGCTGCACGGTCGTCGGAGAGAGCATGACCGAATGTGGCGACATTAACTGTAACGACGTGACGAGGCTTTAGATCGTTTTAATGTAACGTACTCGACCTCTGTATATTGCCTAGAATAATACTGTTAGCTAGGGGAACACTGGAAGAAAGGAAATATTTTCATTAAGAACTACACATAAAAACTGTTCAACTCTATGCAGACGTCACTCAAGAATGGATAAAAAAGAAGAAACAAATAACTTGGAAGACGCGAAAGTGAAACTAGATCTATATTGAGGACATAATTGGGGAAGCAACGGATACATGGTAACTGGCCTACGCTCGTTGTTAACATAGCATCATTCATTTTACCAACTTCTTCAATGTAATTGTATATCGTATCATTAACAGACTACAGATTCATTTTTCCGGGAACCGTATACACAAAAACATTATAGTTGATGCTTTTAACGACTTAACGTGTTTGAGGAAGCAGCATTATATACGCATCTTTGGAAACTGTATTTGGTGGCACGAATTTAGAATTACTCTAAATATAGCAAAAAAATTGCATAAAATTTTCACTATTATAGGCCCGATCTCCACTTCATAAAGGCCACAGTATCAAACGTTTAAGGAACAAGCTTGAACTATTCTAAACTAATATTTCATTTCAAAAATTCCTTGGAAACTTGTAGATGCACAGACTACTTCATATATTTCTAACCCAACTCAAGTTAGCAGACATTCTTTAACAGGTCGACTGCTTTAAGGGGGGGGATTCTTAAAGTGAACAAAAAGCAAAACAACAAGAAATAAGTTTAACAAATTGCCTCCTCCTATTCGGTCATTTCTATTAATTTTTTTTAAATATATTGCAAACAATTAGTTTGAGAAACACACACACTAAGAAATTTAGACTCCAAATTAACTAACAAAATATTAAGCCTATTAAATAAGTAACTTCAAGATAAAAACCATGTATCATTCTCTCAGGGAAGGAACAACAATCCATAAGAATACTTCTTTCATATAACAAAGGCCAGGTGGTTAAGGCACTCGACTCGCAATCTGAGGGTCGCGGGTTCGAATCCCTGTCACACCAAACATGCTCGCCCTTTCAGCCGTGGGGGCGTTATAATGTGACGGTCAATCCCACTATTCGTTGGTAAAAGAGTAGCTCAAGAGTTGGCGGTGGGTGGTGATAACTAGCTGTCTTCCCTCAAGTCTTACACTGCTAAATTAGGGATGGCTAGCGCAGATAGCCCTCGTGTAGCTTTGCGCGAAATTCAAAACAAACAAACAAACCTATAACAAATGAAGATAAGCTCTGATTAAAAAAATGTCGAAACACTGAAAAAATTAGGTACATATATATATAAGAAGTAAGAGAGTTTATTTGAAGTTAAGCACAAAGCTACACCATGGGCTATCTGTGTTCTGCCCACCACTGGTATCGAACCCGGTTTCTAGCGTTGTAAGTCCGCAAACATACTGCTGTGCCACTGGGGGGAGGGGGGCAGAGAGAGAGAGAGAGCAATAAAAAATACCTCAATCTCTAAGCTGCATTTTTAAAATTATTATATACCCAACATTAATGATGTACCAGTCAACGATATACTTATGTAACCAATGTACACATAAACACGTGAATATACATAAAAACTGGGTCTTTACGAGGTCGCAGCATACATGTTAGTCAAATACGAGTTGTGTCATGATGAAAATAATGGTTTTTTATTAAAGAAGTACGTTTCAGTTGAGTCCATGCCGCAAGCGTAATCCATAAAGGGAGCCTTTCTTCCATCCAATGTGAATCACAAGTCTCTTTCGGAAGATCGTTTACGTTTAATAAAGAAACCATTGACTAACAGTGGAATTTGAAACTTAACCTCTCGATGCTGACATTGCGTGAAGACGCCCAGTTCTAACCCAGACTGTGAGGAAAATAGAAGCGTTGAATACTCATAAAATTATGTCTGGTTCTTATTAAATCATATGAAGCCCCACCTACTGGGTAACAAATCCATTCTGATAGACAGATGCGAGGCCAGGGCGAGACCTTACAAGTAATAACTTCCCACTGTCAGAAAAATGTTTTTTTTTGTTTGTTTTTTTCGAAAACATGCACACATATTCATTCTCTTATATATCGGAATAATGATTTACACATGTAATCATGCATAGCAAGACTAAACTATATTTATGGTAAATATAATTCAAGTTCTTGTAAGTATATAAAAACACACATAATAAAATGCCAAAAAAAAGAAAGATACAGAAGGATTAGAAGATTACACAACCCCATGTTCACTTGCATGTACATTCTTTACGAAGAAATTTATCGAGCCTTTATAATATGTAGATTGACATATTGAAAGGACTGTGCAGTTAAAAGTAACTACAGGGTACTAGGCTTAATCAGCCTATGTTTTTTCTATTCTTAAATAGTAACAGCGTATTTGAATAAAGACTAGACTTTTGGTTGCTGCTGCGTTAAAAATATTGATTTTGAGAAGGGTAAGTTGGTACCTTGTATTTCTTTCTGAAACATAGCATAATTCTTTAGTGGATTTTATCCTAAACTTGAGAAAACAACAGTATTATGGTACACTATCTTGTATGGTTTTGTTAATAAACCGCTTTTACGTAATTTCTCATAGATAGTGTGTGTGTGTGTGTGTGTGTGTTTGTCTTATAGCAAAGCTACATTGGGCTATCTGCTGTGTCCAGCGAGGGGAATCGAACCCCTGATTTAGCATTGTAAATCCGAAGACTTAGCGATGTACTACCGGGATCACTCTCATAAACAGATTAGCAATGAACTTTTCTGAACCATGTGTTTATGCCGAAACTGCATGGAAACAGACTAGTACAACGA